AATCAAACCCACTCTCGTACACGTCATTTTATACTTTATCGGTCGGAAAATTCGTACTAACCCACCTAGTTTTTATTACACGTGAAGTGAACTACAGGGGAAAGACCCATAGTTGTAAGAAATACTGTACGGGAATATTCATCTTATATCTTGTGTATTACAGCTGCGCTTACCGAGTGAAAGATTGTAATGAGTGAATGCTAAGACTGGGCAGTTCGAGGTAAAAAGAAGATGCAAGTAGAGAAGTACGTATGTAGCGATCGAAATCCGTTAGGGACTATCAGCTACCTCTGTATAGGATAGGTGGGCTAAAGATACTGGAAGAAGAACTTCTGAGGCAGGCTCGGATGAATAATAATCAAAACAGTAATGGAGGATAAGAAATAACGAAGTGACCGGCCGACAGTCATGATCAGCATCATCCTTGTGGTGTTCCGGTGGTACCTTCACCAAATTAACGTCCCCGGTAGGACTCTTGCTCGAATCCTATCATTCCCATTCTGTGTGTTGTATAGCAGCCTTTTAACTGACCGCTTCCCCTTCCTGAAACTTGTCTTTGTATATTCAATAAAAGGAAAGAAACACAATGAAGCCAGGTTGCCCACTCGTTATTAAGCAAGTGAGAACGTATCGGACAGACTAACTCTTCGTTACCACCCGATTGATTGCGGATTGGAATTAAGGGAAGGTCAGTCGGTCGATCGGATGACCTTCCGTTGAAGAATTGAATGAACGGAAGAAGAAGCCCCATTCCACGTCTGACTGTAGGATTCAAATACTGGGTGGAGAAGTCTGGAATGGTCAGATGAGCAAGACTACTGCTTGTGTGAAAAAGCAGTGATCAGGTAGCCGACGTGCAAAGAGCACCAATGATAAAGTTTACTGATCCGTCTCCTGTATTCTTTGTACTCGTAACTTTTTTCCATTTTTTTTCCTGAAGCTTGTCTTGAAACTAAGCGGAAAATCAATTTGGGTTAATTTTCCCCGCCTCCTCCTCCTCCTCCTCCTTTTTTTCTGAACAGGGATCAAGGCCGATATGAGGATGCGGCTAATTTACTCCAAGAAGTAGTGTCCATACGTGAGCGTACACTTGGTTCGAGTCATCCTGCGGTAGGTTTTCCGTGCTCTCCCTCGCCTTCTTCGGGATGTTACAGTTTATTTTGACTTATTCATTTCTCTCCCTGAAATTATTCAGGTTGTGTTTTAATGACAATGATCCAACCGGTTAGATGAATCAATTTTGAGAGAGTGGTGGTTGTGGAGGTATAACGAAATGAATTTGGCTCAATGCTTCTGGTTCGCTGATTGCTTTTTGGCTGCTTATGTGGTCAGATCATTAGGATAAATGAGAAGCTTTGAGCATATACAGCGTGCAAAATTATAGACGCTCAAAGAGAGCGAGTGTTTTAGACTAGGCGTATATGCTATCCTACTACACCTATACCAGTGAACTGTTGCACCAAATGCCCCTGATTAGAGTGGTTCTAATGTACCCAACTAGCCAACCTTGCACGACCGACTCGATCGAGTCTACTGTGATTAGAATCGGCCGTAGATAGAGGTACCCCAAACCATTCTTTACTTCTGTTAAAACCAAACAAATACCATTGCACTCTAGTGTTATCCCTGTAGAACGAACATCGTTCGAACCCATCAAATATGTTCACTCTATGAAGGTGTTGTAGCCTCTGATTGTCAACTAATTTGTTTGCTACCGTCTAATCCACTTTTCAACCGATTACACGTTGCCAGTGCACATGTTCGTTGTAATTGTGCAATGTGAATTGCACTTTTTTTGCCGCGCACACATGGCCATCTCTTTTCTTCGTGGCCGTCGCTTTCTCCGACTAATGTCTTTGCATCCGCCATTCCTCGGAGTGTTTTCAAACTCACAGGAAACCCTAATAACCTTCCCGGTCCATCCGAAAGCAGCATCATTCGTGTATGGTTTTTGACCACCCTATGCAGACTATCTACCCATATTAAATGAAGGGTTTATTCCCTGGGTAGACCGCGTTTTCCTAAGCACTGGAACTCAGTCACGTGTCTGATGTCTTTCACTGAACGCGTTTCACAACTGTCTCATCACGGTTCTCAGTTAATTGAGTTCGATTCTCGTGGCGAATATTTCAGCTAAATCTTGTAGCAAAATCGATGTTTATTAGGTTGCGATATCTTTAGCTAGCACCAGTGTGACAACTCCTTGCACATAGGTTTTGCACCACGGTTCGTGCTGTTCGCTGTCTGCGAAAATGATTCTCTTCGAACAGATCATAACCAATGACCATCACTTCATCAGCCGTCGTCCGTGCAGCATCGACCGCGTGGGGCGGGAGCATCGTATAAATAACGATGAGGTCAAACGACTTGCGCTAGGCGTTGGACAGTCAAAACACGATCACTTCGCTGCACCATTTAAGGTGATTTGGACCTAGCTCATGAATGCCTGAAAAACAATATCGACTGCCTTTCTGGGCCTTATCCGTTGACACTGAACCAGATGGGAAGAAACAGTGAAAGAGATCGCGTATAGGATGGAAAAGCCGCAATCGGCTCCCAAGTTGGAGCCCCAAGGATTCAGACGGTGGTTGGCTAGAGAAATGGCGGTGTATAGCGTGAGTGCATGTATATTTGTTTCCAATCGCAGTCATGGAACACTAACGATAGCAACAAGCCCACAATGGAGTACAGTAGACAAAGCACAATTTTCCCATCATCTTTTCTGGTAAACGAAAACCTATGTGAATAAATCCGGTACTGGGTGTGGTTCTCCCAGCGTTCCACGACCTGTCAGCTTAGTTCATTTCACACACAAACAGGCACTCAACTACGCACATACTTCACACAGTGTCTATAAAGACGAACAACTATACCACTGTAAGAAAATGCAGAGTAGCGAACACGCTCGTTTGCGGTGATTCTTCACCGCACACTGATACATCACAATTCATGTCAAACCGTTTAGTAGATGGGGGGGGGCAGGGAGCGCGGAGAAACCATGACAAGTCAGCCCGTAGAAGAAATCACTGCAAACGATCTTGTTCACCACTCTGTAGTTTCTTACAATTTGCAATGATGATCTATTCGGATAACTATGCCACTGTTTGCTGGCACAAACTTGTCTAAACGGATAATTCAAAATGTAATTGATTCCGTTCACCCCAGCTCGAAACTCCCCATATTCGACAGATATGGATGTTGAACGCTTGTTTTTTCAGTCAGTTGTACGTTTGCACGCTGTGTGTGTGTGTGAGTCATTCGACTGGCGCCTATACCGATTCAATTCTATCGTAATCCATTGTCGATCTCCGAGAGTAGGGACTCACGTCATCCGTGCAGCGTATTGTATTTGCAAACGGATTGGCGCCTGCGACAGCAGTTTAGCAGCAAGGTCTGACAACTCGGCAAGAAGTTTCTCTATTATTTATGACTTTGTTAGTCATTCATGGGCGTGCTTTTGTTTTGTCAGCCCGGAGACAACACAGCTGGTCAATATTGGCTGGTTCGATGATGGTTATCGGAGCACGCTTCCACTTTACCGGTACCCCGAATTCATGTCGTTTTGGTGAAGTTGGTCGCGTTAAGTAACACGTAATGAGTATAACGTACCATACATGAAGTCGCTGTGAATTCGGTGGTGCCAAACATGTGACAAAGGCGAGTCCGTTTGCTCTCCACTGATCGAGTGTGTTAAATATGTATGCTTCTAACGTCTAACTGTGCTAATCTACTTCACTACCCATGTATACGTCTCTCTCTCTCTGTGAGGTTGCTCAACCGCTTAATGCGATCTGCATCTCCTGCGGTGTGCTCCGTTAATCCGAATACCTTCAGCACATCTGTGCTTGATTCTCTCGAGTAACCGACTACAATCTGACATGATTTTCTTTCTGAACGGATAAATTTGCCTTCCTGTCTGTAACGCGTTTTTCCAATCTGTTGCTTTGTGAATATTGTGTCGACACTGTAGACTCACAACCGAAAGACCCTGACGGTTTTGGCTACATGTAGTCGTTTTGTCCCTGCCCCCCTCCTAGCTGCCTGTTTTCGGCCATGCATTTTCCGCGTGCCTAGACCTTGAAGGCTGATCACTGTCTCCAGTTGGATTATCACGACTGCTGAGTATCACAGTCTGTGATCATTTCCTCCATATTGAAAATCAATGGTTTTGTTGTTTGCTTCCTATCGTATGACTCCTAGGAATGCGAATACAGAAAGAACAGAAAGAAAATTGGTTTGAACAAGGTGTCTGGAGACATTTCACTGGATCCGTACTTATGCGTTCTGCCTGCAACTTCGCCTTTCGTATATATATATATATACGAAAGGCGAAGTTGCAGGCAGAACGCATAAGTA